TGATTAGCCGGATGCCGTTTAGCGGGTATGTGTGCTATGAGGGCGAAGCCTCGCACCGCTAGCATTGTAAGCCCTAGTGTCGGACAAGGCATTCCTCGCCAATCTTTCAGACCTATTCGCTCCTAATGATAGCCACAGCTTCATATTAAGAGTAAATTTAGCAACGAAGGAGATAACAGGTGTGCTGCGATTTTTAGCCAATCGTTCTGCTGGAGGGGGAGGATATTTGTGCATCGACAAAATAGAAAGAGGAAAGAGGTCTCTGCGCGAATGCGTATCAGCATAAACAGTGACAACGTTGGCAAAAAGGTAAACTTTTTTAGAAAACCGGACATTCAGCATGACCTACGAACCAGTTTTGTTACTTATAAGAACATTTTAGCATGGTCTGTTGTTGAATGATGGCCACAATAAGTCAGAATCGCTAGTACTTTTAGTAACAATTCTCAACCAAGATCCTGTAGCAACCTCCTATTCTTAGCCATGCTTTGCTCGTCCGCCTCTGGAGCATGGCAAGCATGTCTGGCTCTCGTGTCCCCCAGCACGTGCGCACCGGAGCATGTCAAAGCACCGGTTAAGGTCACGTACGTGTGTTCCCCTTCTGTCTGTCCCAACTGGTCAATTAAGTTCCAAGGCCGCTACACAAAAAGACCGTATTGCGGGAATTGCTTACGGTCAGACACTCCCGGAGCCGGCGACTTCACGGCCGGTTGCAGACATCCGGACCCGGTGACTTCACCACTGGAATGCAACTCTCAACTCGGCCCGCTCATGGCTGGACTGTACTCGTCTGGGAGTCAATTACTTACTTATCATACTCTATTCCTTCTGCACGTAATTAAATTATCCATAACATTCTGGTCTTCCACGCCTTATCTTAACAACTGGTTTATAACCGTTGGGATACATTCTATCTTCTATTATCCGGCCGGACTACTTCGTACTCTACAATTCCATAAACTGGCGCAGGGAGAAAACTTGACACAAGGCAGCCTGTGACACAGGAATGCTGTTAGTAGAGATTTTATGGGTGATGCATATAGATGCGACCGGTAACAGAGTTCGCACAGACAGTCGAAAGAAAAACCGCAGTTCCCCATTTGCCTTTTTTAATAGCGCGCTGAGGTGAAGAAACAGCAGTTTAAGAATGGAAGATGCATGCGCGTAAGGTATGCCGCAGTTATTAGTTAACTGCAACCAGCAAGCTGATCCCAGCATCTAATGGCCAATCGGCGTTGCGGAGAAACTATGAATGATTTATTTTTTGGTGAGATTGCCTTATAAACATCACCATAGTTTACTATAGATAACTACCTACGCATTTCGTTGTAGTTTATTTAGTTTAGTCTAGTGTAGTTATTAATTTATTATTTAGTTTTATTAGTTTTAGTTTACTTAAAATGTAAAGGCCTGACGAGAATTTATCGAAAACAAGCGTATGCTCGTCTATTTATCTTCTGGAATGATTTATAGTCGAGTATTTATCTAATGATGGCCCAGCGAGAAGCTGCAAGCTAAACAGACAACTTAGGCAGCTAAAAGTAAGACATTGACGAGGTTTGGGGTCAAATCAAAGAGATAGTCCATAATCTTTTATTCAGCCCCTGCGCAAGCATGCGAAAAAGACTTACAAACAAAACTTACTGGCTGACTCCATCCTTAACGAAAAGAGGAAACCGTAAGACATATTCCCTATTGATACGACGCCTGAATCACTCAACTTCCTGAAAAAGTGTCACCACAAGCCATTGGAGTCAAACAGCGCCAGTGTCAGCCTCAACATTTTTTTGTTATATAAAGCAGAGTACGGGCAGTACGGATTTCCATACAATGTTGCGAACTGCTGAGTATACGGAAATCTCGAAGGTAAAAGATACGACTAGACATCTCTCTGATTTCTTCAAGTCCATTTTACAAGTGAACCTAAGATCCTTCTAAGCCCTTAGGACGAGGAAGAATTGCTTACAATCGAAACTGCCTTCTTCACCGAAGGAAGCGTTGCTAAATTTGTAAAGATTTTCTCTTCCAGACTCCCAGGGAAATCTAGGCCTAGCTGTTGAAGCAGCTAGTGCATGAAACGGCCAAGCCAGTAGCGTTGCTCGCCGTGGATTAATTTACTACGGGATGCCTATCCTATAACTGGGAGTCCGCAACCACCAGCCCGCTATTGAAGAGTGGCAGCAGACCAAGAATAACTTCCGGCTGGTCAGTCATACCAGCAGTTATTGCATAATTACGCAGAAAATCACTAAGAAAATCTTTATACTATTTCTTGAGCTGACTCACCTCCTCTCCGATGTCCATCATGGCTTTCGCATTTGTAGGTCCTCTCCTACGAATCTGTTGTTTGCACTTAAACGCCGAAGAATAGTACGACACGCAGGCAATATAGTGCGTATCACCTACATGGGCTTCAAGAAGACTTTCGACAGCGTCCCTCATCAACCCCATCTACATAAACAACACCGCATATAAGTTAACAGAAGCCTACTTGTATGAATCTCGAAACTTTTGACTGCTGACTCCACCAGCAATCCTCAGCGGTGACCGCTGTGAGCGGCGGCCCATAGGGCTCAGTTTAAGGCTCACATTATTTCTTGTTTGCATCAATGACTGTTTCACGAATCTACAATGTGATGTAATCCTGCCAGCTGATGAAAAAAGTTTGGAAGTTTGTTCACAATGCGGCGGTCAAGGACCACCTGCGGCCAACCTTGAACCGATTCGAGGACCGGTCGAAGCGCTGTCTCGTGCACTTCAATGTACGCAAGTTCAACGTTTTTGTTAATAGTTCCTTATAAACAGCACCAAAGATTACAATAGATAACTACCTGCTCACTTCGTTGTAGTTTATTAGATAGTTTATTTTAGTTAATCGTTTATCATTTAGGTTTATTAGTTTTAGTTTAGTTTGCCTTTAAGTTTAGTTAATTTAGTTTAAGCTACGGTGATGCTCGTAAGGAACCCTTACATTTTTTTCAGCTGGGCAGCTGCACTATCTCTAGTCTAGAGATTTATTTTCTAAAATACTCCGTTGCCAACAGCTGACAGTCAGAACGACTCAAACGAACATTGTACTGCACGACGACGGCCAAGTCGGCCACGTCTATGTTGCAATTCCTCATAGAAGCACTTACGGGGTTAAATAAGGAAAACTTCTCCAAACTTTTAGGAACCTTCCCGTGAACACACCCGCAATACGCCGTAGAGACATAGGGATCTTGGACCGTCAAGGACTTAACCCTCTTAGATGCGA